AAAAAAGCCCATCAGTGGGATACTGGCTAAATTAACTGTGATGCATCCATACAATGGGCCCCACTGCTGCTTTACAGAAATATTAATAAGCAATCTCTTTATGTAGTTATGGGGAAAGATTTCAAGATACATTCAGTAACTGAAAAAAATGAAGATGCAGAGCAGTGTGTATAATCTGTGGAAAGGAGGGAGAAGAGAAGGGAGAATGTATGTTCAAACTTGCTGTATGCGCCCAATCAGTGGAAAGAAACCCAATCAGTGGAAAGAAATCTGACAAACCAATTAACACAGCACCACACAAGCCAACACAGTCCCACAAACTGACAGACTAGCGTGGAAACAAGTAACAGTAACTACTTTTTTTTCCTTCCTTCTTTTTTTTAATGGGGTAAGTTAGGACTGGCTGGATCGGAGACACTTAACTATGGACCATTCCATATGTTTTGATTTTTTAAAACCATGAGAATATATCATCCATCTAAGAAATTAAGTAAAATAAATTTAATTTTTTTAAATAAAAAGAATCTCAAAAATATTTCTTGATTTGGTGAGACATGCATTATGCATAGGGTACTTTCTGCATGTACACAAACAACTGCAGTATCACGGGTAGACACAGGCATGTATGTGTGCACACATGGGAAGTGTGTAAAAGACACACACCAGACTGCCAGCCGCTGGAGACAACCCGGTGAGAATGCAGGGGCCACATTTTGAGCTTTTTCTTTCTGTACTTTTGGACCATTTACTATTAAGCAAATATGTTCAAAAGACCCTTATTTTTCAAGAATAGTTAGTACCTTCAATGAAAGGCCACTGAAAGGTGAGGAAAAAAAAAAAGGGAGGGTCTTTAAATTAAAACATAAACCTCAAAATCATGAAAATTTATTTTATCTTTTGTTCAACAAACCTTGTGATAACTATGAATTATGCAGTTGAAACACTAGGCAGCAAAAGACTGATGATAAACTACATGGGATCTTCACACGGAGACTCCTTTAACTAGTTTCTAAACCACTATTTTCACATTATGGCTTCCTCTACTTCCTAAGAACTGCATGCCCTCTTTCCTTTCTTTTTCAATTGCAGTGAGATTATACATACATAATACACTTGTTAATAAAACGAGTTTCACGTTTATAATTCCAGCACCATGCTATTTTACATTCTCCATTTCTCCTGGGATATGATGTCATGAGTCCATTTTACAGATGAAGAGTTGGGGGCTCTCTGACGTTGAGTGACTTGCCCAGGACCTGAACACAAGCAGGCTGACCCCTAGGGCTGTATCATGCTATGGGATTCCCACAATGAAACTGGCTTACTGTCACAGGCAGAGTTTACCATATGGGGGTTCAAGAGTATCAAGAGACCCCAGGAAAGGCAATTTTTTAATAAAATGAATATGTTACAAGTTCAAAAACATGCACAGCTTACTGTAATTAGGAAAAGAACATGAGTAGGGAGAACATTACCAGGGCAGTATTTCTAGGCCCCGGCCTTGTCTCCCCTTGAATGCCCCATTCTTATTTCACAGTCAGGTGCTGAGGCAAAGAGCCTTTCAATGCCATCTGAAAAGGGTGATCTCAAAGGGCAGCCTCTTCGAGTGCTAAGATTTTGTTGCATAAATTCAAGACAGGATAGGACTGAAAAAATACACTTTTTCTCATTTTTAAAATAGGGGTGGTGACAGCAATTTTCTAATAGGGTTGTTGTGAGGATTAAACGTGACAGTGAGTACATAAAGAATTCCGCCCAGGGTCTGGTCTGTGGCCACCACTCAACACACAGAAGCTCCTCCTCACTGTATACATCACTTCATAGAGCAAGAAAAATGGCCAGGAAAATATGAAGATATTTTACCTCATTAATATTTGAGGAAATGCAAATGAATTAATGTTAAGACAAAGAGACACTTTTTCACTCAAAAATACATGCCTAGTATAAAAGTACTAGCATAAATGTGCTAGATTACCTTTTCCTGCAAACACATCACTATCAGTAAAAGGTACAGCCAAAAAAAGTCCCAAAGTGTTAATGCTCATTATCAATTCAAAAAAGACTGTCGTTTCCCAGGCAACAGAGCAGAAAGTCAGTATCCTGGACATTCTGGTAACCCTGAGATTAAAAGCTCAGTAGCTGAGGATCGAGTGTGGTGCCAATAAAGTCTGTGGAGAGGAGCTGTACTATAAAATGTGACTTCAGAATTTTGAGACTCAGGCCAAGCGGGGGCCAGCTGCCTGAATACTGGGGTGAGACAGTGTGAGGATCATGTGCAAACGGCAGGCAACATCAACAGCCCACACACCAGCCCACTGTGGTCTGAGCCTCCGTGCTCTGCAGAGCAGCTTGGAATCTAACACTGCGTGAGTGTCACTATCTTGGTGGAGTCTACTCTAATTAGCCTACTCAAAATTTCTACCAGAGTCCAGCAGCAGCAGCAAAAAAAAAGTAGTGATACTGGTGAAGACAGCCAAAAATAAAATTTCCATCTCCCTGCCTGGAATTGTCCTTCGGAGTAACAAAAACCTGCCACCACCAAAAAGGAAAAACAGCAAACTCAAAAACATATAACTTTGATTGATTATTATTTGGAAACTTCAATATATTCTCTTTGGTCTTTATCATTTTACTGATTACACCAGACACTTCTAGAATAAAATGTCTCATTATTCAGTAAAATCTGTGAAAGCTGGAACCTGTCTAAGGCAGAAACCTGTCAGGGAAGGAAAATGCAAATATTTTCCACTAAAATGAGTGGGTAATAGAAAAGTGGTGAGACTGCACCCAGTCAAAGGCGGAAAACTTACGAGACCCAGAGAGAAAAGGATTCCATCGAGTTCCAGCTTTTGTCACAGGTTTCACTGTGTAAGTTGTTCAAATTAGTAAGCCTCCACAGTAGATGTACATTTTAATGATTTATCAAATAAAACTCAAATGAAATTGAGGAGTCTTAGGGTTGCAGTACAATCTGGAAACGTCTATTACAAACTCTCCCCATATGCCGGGCACCATGGCACAACCAAAGAGAAGAAAAAAAGGCATACAGACCCTTTTGAGCACTCACTGCCTTAACAAATACAGCCACAGAGACTGACCCTTCAAGAAGGTAGAATAGGTGACAAAATTCTCTCCCACCTCAGTGTGTGATTTCCACTGCTTTGGTCAAAGAGCCTTGTCCAAGCACTTCCACAATCTAAACAAACTACTTACTGGTTTCGTTTATCTACTGCCCATCTATATGTAACAGGCACAGTGCTAGTAGCTTTTACATGTTTTTGCATTTAATCCTTAAAAGGACCCTGAGACAGATGCTGCTATTTTTATTCCCATTTTACAAATGAGGAAACTGATGCCCTCAGAGCTTTAAGTAACTCCCTCAGGATCTGAAATCTATACCCAGATCTCACTTTAGACCTCAAGTTTGTTGGTGTGTTTTTTTTTTTTTTTTAAATATTTTATTGGTTTTGAGGTGAAAATTTACACAATGAATTAGGTTCCCATTTAACAATTTTTATACTAGTTGTTCTATGACATTGTTACAATTTTCACAATGTGTCAGCATTCTCATTATTTCCATTCTGCTTGTTCTGTTTCCATTGATCTAGCTGCCCTTTCCCTCCTTGCCTTCTCATCTTTGCTTTTGGGTAAACAGACTGGAAGCTCTTACCCAATCCCCTCTGGGACCCCGGCAATATCTAGATAAGACAATTCTACCGATATGGTTTTCCCTTTTCCCCTTCCTCAGTTTTCCACTGAGGCAATTGAAAACTCAAAAACACAAACCAAACTCACTGCCATCAAGTCAATTCCGACTCACCGCAACCCCCTTTGGGTTTCAAGGTGGTAAATCTTCACAGAAGTAGACTTCCCCATCTTCCTTCCATGGAGTAACTGATGGGTTTGAACTGCCAGCCTTCTGGTTAGCAGTCAGATGCCTTAGGCACCATGCCACCAGAGCGCCTTAATTAAAAACCAGGAACTTCTACTCATCATTCCTTCAACGTCCATGATAAAGAGAAGATACCCTCACAGACACACACCCACTCAGGAGTATAGAGACAAAACCCCAAATGAAGGAAGTCTGTGCCCTGGAACAGGGTACAGGCTCTAGGGCAGCAGCACTGGGTAGCGGGAAGGGCAGCGATAGGAAGGGGTACCTTTTCTGCGATGCCATTTTCCGTAGTGTAGATTGCCATGAGCTCAGTGTCTTCATTGTCCTGTTCACCGCTGGACGTGGCACCTCCATTTATCACCACCTGAAAGGAAGCATTCCACTTTGAGACTCTCTCAACATATACTACTCTGGGTATAGAAACATTTTTTCCCCAAAAAGTCTTCTGTAATTCTCCTAAGATCCAAAAACTGTCCTTTTCACCTAATAAATCAGCAAAGTTTTAGAACCACACTCCAATGTTACAGTAGTACTCAGACCACTGAAAAGAGAAGCACGGAACGGGTGAATGCTCTGAGGACAACCAAGGTGAGTTACTAAGACATCACAGAAGCCTACACCTGATTTAAGGTCCCATGCTGCTAAAACCAACCTTCACCTGCATTCACCCCTGCCCACTGATCAAACCAAATCTGTCCACATGGCACCAAGGACGGCAGACTTTGGCAAGAGTTAACAACTTCCACTTCTCCAGACTTATCACACAACACACACAATTAAATAAATAGTACTATAAACGTGGGTACTCCCCAACGTGGAAGGCTCACATGTTCAGTCAACCAATCCTGGCTGAGCAGCTGCTGTGTCCCAGGCAATGAGGGTGCAGCCGCGCCTGCCTCCCTTCAGAGCACACACCACAATAGGAAACTCCGACTCAATAGGGAGCCACGGAGGGGTTCCGAGCACCAGAGTGCCGCCACCAGCTGTGTGCCCTGGTCAATCACTCTGGCTGTAGTGGGGAAAATGGACCGGTGGGTGCAGGAAAGGGGATGATGGGGCAAAGGCAGGAAGACCCTTTAGGAGGCCACTACCAGGCAACAGGGACAGTGGCTGGAGCCAAGGTCTGAACACTGGTCTGGGAAAAGCAGTCTGGTTCAATAGAGAGCAAGAATGTGGACTTAACAGCACCTGGGGACTGTATGAAAGTGCTGTGCAACCCTGTGGGTGGGTGCAGGGGAGACACCATTCATAGTACAACAGACACCAAAGTCTAGTTTCCTCACCTAGGCAGCTAGGTGGGTGGAGGTGCCAGTATCAAAGATGAGGAGACTGGTGTAGGCAGGGCCAGGGGTGATAAATAGATACAGTGGATGTTTGTAAGTCAATTCAAATGTGTCTTTCCATAGCAACCATCCCATAAAGGAAGCTAGCCTGGGAAAGCAGAACCAAGCAACATGAATTCTTTGACAACCTCAATCTTTTCTCCATTAATCGTGATGCTGCTTATTGGTCCAGTTGTGAGGATTTTTGTTTTCTTTATATTGAGATGCAATCCATACTGCACACTTTATTCTTCAATCTTCATCAGTAAGTGCCTCAAGTCATCCTCACTTTCAGCAAGCAAAGATGTGTCATCAGCATATCACACACTGTTAATGATTGTTCCTCCAAACTTGATGCCACATTCTTCTTCATATAGTCCAGCTTCTCGGATTATTTTCTCAACATACAGATTGAATAAGTATGGGGAAAGGATACAACCCTGATGCACTCCCTTCTTGATTTGAAACCATGCAGTGTCCCTTTGTTTTGTTCGAACAGCCGCCTCCTAGTCAATGTACAGGTTCCTCATGAGCACAATCAAGTGTTCTGGAATTCCCATTATTCTCAATGTCATCCACAATTTGTGGATCTACACAATCAAATGCTTTTGCATAGTCAATAAAACACAAGTAAACATCTTTCTGATATTCTTTGCTTTGAGCCAGGATCCATCTGACAGCAGATATGATATCCCTTGTTCCACATCCTCTTCTGAATCCAGCTTCCACCTCTGGAAGTTCTCTGTCAATACACTGCTGTAACCATTTTTTAATTACCTTCAGGAAGATGTTACTTGCGAGTGATATTAATGATATTGTTCAATAATTTCCACATTCTGTGGGATCACCTTTCTTTGGAATGGGTATAAATATGGATCTCTTCCAGTCAGTTGGCCAGGTAGCTGTCTTCCAACTCTCTTGGTATAACCGAGTGAGTGCCTCCAGTGGGCCATCTGTTTGTTGAAACATCTCACTGGGTATCTTGTCAATTCCTGGAGCCTTGTTCTTCACCAATTCCTTCAGTGCAGCTTCAACTTTTTCCTTCAGTATCACTGGTTCTTGATCATATTGCACCTCCTGAAATGGATGAAGATCAACCAATTCTTTTTGGTACAGTGACTCTGTGTTCCTTCCATCTTCTTTTGAGGTTTCCTGCATCATTCAATATTTTACCCATAGAATCTTTCAATATTGCAACTCGAGGCTTAAATTTTTCCTCAGTTCTTTCAGCTTGAGAAATGCCTAATGTGTTCTTCCCTTTTGGTTTTCTAACTCCAAGTCTTTGCACATTTCATTATAGTAATTGGCTTTGTCTGCTCAAGGTGCTCTTTGAAATCTTCTATTCAGCTCTTTTATCTTGTCATTTCTTCCACTGGCTTTAGCTACTCTTTGCCCAAGGGCAAGTTTCAGTGTCTCTTCTGTGTGTTCTCTTCTTCTCTCCTCTTTTTAATGACCTCTTGCTTTCTTTACGGATGATGTTCTTGATGTCATCCCACAATTCTTCTGGTTTTCAGTCACTGGCGTTCAATGCATGAAATCTATTCTTTAGATCTCTAGATTCAGGAAGGATATATTCAAGAACATATTTTGGCTCTTGTGGACTTGTTTTAATTGTCTTTAACTTCAAGTTGAACTTGCATATGAGCAGTTGATGGTCTGTTCCACAATCAGCTCCTGGCCTGGTTTTGGCTGAAGATACTGAGCTTTTCCATCACCTCTTGCCACAGATGTAGGCGATCTGATTCCTATGTATTCCACCTGGTGAAGTCCATGTGTATAGCCATTGTTTGTGTTGTTGAAAAAAGGTATTTGCAATGAATAAGTCATTGGTCTTGCAAAATTCTATCATGCGGTCTCCAGTGTTATTTCTGTCACCAAGGCCAAATTTTCCAACTCTGGTGATTCTTCTTTGTTTCCAACTTTTGCATTCCAGTCACCAGCGATAATTAACACACCCTGATTGCATATTTGGTCAATTTCAGACTGCAGAAGCTGATAAAAATCTTCAATTTCCTCATCTTTGGCTTTGGTAGTTGGTGTATAAATTTGAATAATAGTCATATTATATTAACTGGTGTATGGACATTATCCTATCACTGATAGCATTGTACTTCAGGACAGATCTTGAAACATCCTTTGTGATGATGGATGCCACACCATTCCTCTTCAGATGGTCATTCCCAGCATAGTAGACCACATTGTGGTCTGATTCAAAATGGCCAAAATCAGTCCATTTCAGCTCACTAATGCCTACAATAAGGAGCCCTGGTAGTGTAGTGCCTAAGGCACTTGACTGCTAACCAGAGGGCTAGAAGTCAAATCTACCAGCCACTCCTCGGAAGGAAGGTTGGGCAATCCACTTCTGTACTGATACTGCCTTGGAAATCCAAGGAGGGGTCGCTATGAGTTGGGTCTGACTCAACGGCACATAACAACAACAACAATGCCTACGATACCAATCTTCATGCGCTCCATTTCATTTCTGACAACTTCCAATTTTCCTAGATTCATGCTTTGTACACGCCATATTCCAATTATTAATAGATGTTTGCAGCTGTTTCTCCTCAATTTGAGTTGTGCCACGTCAGCAAATGGAGGTCTCAAAAGCTTTACCGTATCCATATCATTAAGACTGGTTCTACTCTGATGATGCAGCTCTTTCCTGGTCCTATTTTGAGAGCCTTCCGACCTAAGTGGCTTATCGTCCTGGACTGTATCGGACAATGTTTCTGGGCTATTCATAAAGTTGCACAGTAATGTATCAGACAGTACTTCTCCGCTATTCATAAGGCTTTCCCTGGCCAATTTTTTGAGAAGAGGATAGCCGCCTCCTCCTTCCTAGTCTGTCTCAGTCTGTAAGCTGTTGAAACCTGTGGACCATGTGCAACCTTGCTGGGTTTGAGACACCGGTGGCACAGCCTCAAGCCTCACAGCAACACACCACCACAGTAGGACAAACTGACAGACAACTTTGTCTCTTTTAGCTGTTCCAAACCTCTCCACCCTCCCCCTCCTCCCCTTACATAGATCCCTGCCTCTTTCCTGCCACTTGGGAGGAAACACATTTAGAAGACAAGAAGTTCTGGAGACTGGGGGGGAATGAAACAAGATTTTACTGAAGCAACAGGAGTACTCAACACCAGAGAGAAGCCAGGCCCTACGAGGCAGGGGGTTCCACAGGGACTGCTCTGATCTGATGTGCAGGTCACTAATGTGTTACGTGCAGGAACTGCCCAAATGCCACCGAAAAATGAAGAGGGCTGTTCAAAAGACTAGTCTATTTCACTAATATTTTCCCTTTAGTTATTAAGTTAGTTATTTATTGGTCTACTTTTTACAAAAATATGAAATTTAATTTTAAAATCCAAATGTTAAAATCTCTCCTTCAGGAAAGGCATTGAGGTTTTTGTTTTTAAGAAAAGGATAAAAGGTACTGCTGATAGTATCAAAGCTTCACATTTTTGAACCTCTAACTATTAGTTTAACAGGGAAAACAAAACATGTCTTGGAAAGCTTTCTACACTTTTGGGTCCTTCTGTGCTATTAATAGCATCACAGATAACAGAGGGGAATCTGGGCAACATTCACCTCAGGAAATTGATCAAGATTTTATGAAACTATCAGCAGATTATTTATAAACACTTTGGGAACAAGATGTCCTTTCTCTACCTCCAAAACTATTTGAAACCAAATTTGTGGCTTTAAATTTTTTTATCCTGAACTATCATTATATAATAATTTAACCACCCATAAAAGCAGGCTTTGTTTTCTCTGCCTAAATGTGCATTATCTATTGACCATCTCTAACACATAGAGCTCTTTCATGGTGGAGTGGGCAAGGGTGTCTATTGCTCAGATAGACAGACAGACACATACACACATACTTACATATTTGTTTCTAAAGCATAATCTTAGGAGCTCTGGTAGCATAGTGCCTAAGGCACTTGACTGCTAACCAGAAGGCTGGCGGTTCAAACCCACCAGCCACTCCTCGGAAGGAAGGTTGGGCAATCCTACTTCTGTAGTGATACTGCCTCGGAAA